CCTGGTCAACATGGTGAAACTTTGCCTCTACTAAAAATACAAAAAAAGTTAGCTGAACATGGTGGTGCACACTTGTAATCCCAGCTACTCAAGAGTCAGAGGCTGGAGAATCTCCTGAACCTGAGAGGCAGATGACACAGTGAGCCAAGAATGTGCCATTGCACTCCAGCCTGGGTGGCTGAGTGAGACTCCATTCCAAAAAAAAAAAAGTTATGGTTTGGATGAGTCGGGGTGGAGGTTTCCTGGCTGTCGTTCCAGGTTTGTTGCCTTCATGGCCTCCAGACTGAGCTCTCAGCCCCCTTCTCTTAGATGAGGTGGCAGCAGTAGGCAGTGGTTGACTCCAAGGGACTACAATGGCCTTGGCTCGTGGTTTTCCCCAGACATCCCATGACTCACAGGCATAGCCGCAGGAACCTCTGCTGATGATGTGCCCTGCAGGGCATGGACAGTGGGGGAGGGGGCAAGAGCATCAGAGATCTTAAGAGAGGATCTGCCATTTTCTTTTGTCCTATAAAGTACTCTCACTTCTGACGGGGTCGAAACTGTGTGGGATTAGATTGGGAAAGAGAGATGGAAGGGAAGGGAGATCAGAAAAATAATTTGGGATGTGGGAGATTTAGGAAGGAGGGAGAGAGTGAGAATGAACCTCAGATCCCTAAGTAGCCCTATGGGATGAAAAGATAGAAAGGAAACTTACCGGTATTGGGGCTGTGACTCAATCCAGCAACATTACAATCCTGAGGTTGGGGTCAGCCTGCTGGTACTGCAAGGGGTTGGCAGCCTGAGCCCAGCACATGGGAATGAGCATAGTGTAGGCAAGCTCCTTTTAACTTCATACGGTGACTTACCTGAGGGACAGAAGGACAGACTGCTTTCATTAGTAATGTTGGTTCAGGAGAGATCTTTCCGGCAGCCTAAGGGATTGCATTCTGTGGAAAGAGATGAAGAGCAAACCCTGGGGCTTTCACTGGCCAATCCCATATCATCTTCCTGCTCATGCAAATAAGTCACTGTGTCCAGGATCAAGTCACATCAATAGTCGAGTGCTGTTAAGCAAATTACGTAAATTTTCTAAGCCTCAGTTTCCTCTTCTGTGAAATGCAAAATATAACAATGCTTATCTCACAGGATTGTAGTAAGGAATTAATGACTTAATAATAGACTATCTAAAGGTACCTAACACATATTAATGCTCAAGCATGCTAGGCATAGTCTTTACCAATACTATTGCCATTGGTTCTAAGAGTCCAGTGAGTTGAGGATGTATTTTCCAGCAGGAGTTTGGAATCTGGGGACAGGTTAGGAAATGGCTTGTGGTCTAGTAACAGGACTGAGAATCAGGGATGTAACTTCCACCCTCATCCCCTTATCAATGATCCAGTTTGCTGAGAGCAACTCTTGTCTTTTTGTTCACAGCTAACTATATGGAGCACTGGACAACTCCGGCAGGCATAGTCGGAGAAGGAGCCTGAGAAGGAGGAGGTGGAAAGAGGTCTTCGTTTTGTGAAAAGGGAGCATCCTGAGTTGAAGGGAAAATGAAGAGAAGATGAAAAGCAGCTCCTGGGTTCATAGGGGAGGGGAGGGAAAGAAGCAGGGACGGGAGAAGCAGATATGTAGGAAGCAGGGAAGAGGCAGCCGCTGTGCATGGGAGGCCTGGGTCTCCTTCCAGCACTCCTGTGAAGCAGGGATGTCAGGAAAGTAGCCTTGCTCAGGTTCACCTGCCAGACTGAGGAAGGAGCTGCTGAGGAGGGGAGGGCAGGGACTTTTTATAGCTGTCAGTGCGACGGGTGTGGCATTCCTTCCCCTCCACCTGCACACACTCTGGCACTATGGAGGAACTAAGGTAGCCCGGGAGGGTCAAACTTCTAGAATGAGCCTGGGACAATCTCCAGTCTGTGTCCTGACTGGTCCCAGCTGCCGTTTCTCTGGTTCTCTGCCTAGGGGATTCCTCCTGCTTTTCTCTTTCTCCTCTCGTTTCTTCTTGGCAGCCCCACAACTTGGCAGCTACTTTGCCGCGAATCACCAGATTGGATGAGATACCTCATGATAGGCCTTTCGTTCATTCCTTCACTGGGAAAAGGTACAAAAGGTATGATCTAAGGCCCTTATGGCGTCTGTTGAGATAACGTCACATTGCCCTTGCCTAATTATCTCCATAGCACAGTTACAAAACAGTTCCAGCTGAGGGAGACAGAATAGAATGGAGGCTCCACGAAGGGAGTCATCTTTTCCTATTTTGGCAACCACCGCAGCCCAGTGCCTTTGTATACAGAACTTAATAAATATTTGTTAAATGAGTGAATCTTTTTTCTTTAGCTCAGAAGAAAAGTAGTTTAAGTGATTTCAGAGTTTGTTTGGTGGTAGAATAGAATAACGTGATAACGGTCCCAGGTTCTTTATCCTCCGTTTCACCATGCCTACAGTTTGGGCTCAAAAGTCACAGGGTCACTGAACTAACACCATGGACACAAGACAGCTGTCGCAACTCCAGACATCACATCCTCACGCCAGCGGCCCAGGCAAGAAAGGACATGCACAATTTAGAGTTTCTGTTTTTAATTCAAGAAGTCCATTCTTTCTCAAAAGAGCCAAGCAGAACTCTCCCCTATGTTCTTGGCCTGATTTGGGTCACCTGCAACCCCATGCAATTCCACTCCCCGCAAAAGTGGCTAGAACAAGAAGTATTTGGCCAAGAGAAGAAAAAGTCCTATTATTTGGTGTAACTGCTATTTTCTCCTTCCGGACTGGACACATCGATACCCTGAATGACATCAAGATTGTGTTAACACAGAGAAAGGTGAAATGGGCCACAAAGTGGACAACGAATCCTTTCCTACAGACCTACAAAATCCAGCTTCTGCTTCTGCTATTGCTGACCTCTCTGCCCTCCATCTTCACTCTGGCTTTTCTTTCTCAGAGGGCTCTCTGATGAATAGCCATTTCTCTGACTGACGCCTCAAGAATGGAGCCCAGAGATCTCCGTCAAAACCTTTGTTCCTCCATGACCAGGACTGAGGTAAAGGAAGAGGAATAGAAAGCAAAGGAGGGAACTGACTCAGACTCAGAGCTGGACCCAGCCGCGGGCACACTGTTCATTACAGCTCCTCCATGGGCCGGGCTCTGTGCCACGCACTGAGGGGGCAAGGATGTGCAAGTCAGGCAAAGTCTTCCCTTTCATGGATGACGTTTCGGTGCAAGAGATACTTAATACATTCATAAATAGACTACGAAATCAAGACTGAGAAGGATCACGGAAAAAACAAACAAACAAACAAACAACAACAAAAAAAAACAGGGCAAGGGATAGAGGTGATGGGAAGGCTTCTCTGAAAAAATACTGAGCACTGACCTTGTGTGTGAGAACTGTGTAACCACTGGAAGACAGGATGTAGGAAGGCCTTAAGGTGGGAGGGTGGCTATGATAGAGAATACCAAGAATGCAGATATGGCCAGGGTGAGCAAGCGTCAGAAACAAAGTCAGCGATATAGTCACTGACCAGGGATGCAGGATTTAGTTGGCCTTGAAATTTTATATTTTCATGTAACGGAAGTCACTAGAGAGACCTGAACAGGAAGGTGACATTATCTGCTTTCTATTCTGAAAGACTCACTGCAGTTGCTATAAATAGGAATATAGCTATTATTACAATAGGTAACAGTGCATATATGAACAGAACAGTTAAAACACATTTTTATAAGTAATTAATAAGCCCCAATAATATTTTAGAACTATATATATATATATATATATTTTTAGATTTCTTTTTTTTTTTTTTTTTTTTTTTTTTTTTTTTTTTTTTTTGAGACAGAGTTTTGCTCTTGTTGCCCAGGCTGGAGTGCAATGGCACGATCTCGGCTCACCACAACCTCCACCTCCTGGGTTCAGGCAATTCTCCTGCCTCAGCCTCCTGAGTAGCTGGGATTACAGGCACGCGCCACCACGCCCAGCTAATTTTTTGTATTTTTAGTAGAGACGGGGTTTCACCATGTTGACCAGGATGGTCTCGATCTCTCGACCTCGTGATCCACCCGCCTCGGCCTCCCAAAGTGCTGGGATTACAGGCTTGAGCCACCGCGCCCGGCCTAGAACAATATTTTTTTAACTGAGAAAGATAGAGCTACCTCTCCCACCCAAGTAGTTTATATATTCATGGACAAATAACTTTATTTCACTAGAGTGAGATAAAGTCTAGAACCAATTATTTTCCTAGTATTTCTTTTCATAGTTGTCAGCTTTGAAATGTCTACCTCTTATAATTAAGTAGATAGAAAAGGAAAATGTTTATTGTGGTAATGCCATTCAATTTCTCTGAATTCCTTTTGAATTACTTGTCCACAATCTCACACACCAATTTGTTATCAAAAATTATTTTTGGTGATCCGTCAATTGACAACTGAATTATATCCTCCTTCAGTCCTCTAAAGACCAAACCATGGAAGCCTCCTGCACTGTGAAAGGGCTTGTTACTTTATCACTGGATCATTCATACACTCAACACGGATGCCCATGTTTTTAATCATTTCTTGTTTGGCATTCTGCAGATTTTTATACCCTGGGATAATAAGATTCAGTGACAGGTGAGGGCTGAGGTTTTCTTTCGTTATGTGGGAGAAAGGCATTGTGAAAGAAGTCACCTTGTTCAAAGCACATCTCAGCCACTTGAATTTAGTAGAGTACATAGGCACACTGAAAATCTGAAACCAATTCCTTTACCACGACTCCTGCTTGCCTATCCCTTGAAAAATCTTTTCACACCGAGCTCTGCAATGGTGTGTTGTTTTATTTCTCTCTACCCCATGCCAAGCAATATGCCTGGCACGGCCATGTTTGTTCAATGAGGGAAGTGGGGGTTTGGAGTGTCGGCTTGTTCTTCCCACATCTTCCCTAGCTTCCCATCCCACTTCCCAAACTGAGATGTCACCAATGGAACACTGACAACATTTTTCTGGCTAGGGGAGTCCCAAGCTGGGGATAATAACACTGATGTCATAAACACAGAGAGGTAAGAAATTTATTTTTATTACCCAAGAATCAGGACTGGAACAAATGAAGGGTTGGATTTCCTGGTTGGGACCCTGGTTTCATTATTGTCACAACTGAGTTCTCAGCCTCTTCCCTCTCAGGCCAGGTGGCAGCAGCGGGCAGTGGTCCAGTCCACCACACTGCACTGGCAATGGCAGGTGGTTTCCAGCTGAACATCCCACGAACCACAGCCATAGCCACAAGCACAGCCAGTGACAGCCATCCCTGCATGGGTACATGAAATGCAGACCTCAGAACTCTCGGGATTTAACTGGAGGGAGGGCTACCCACAACCGTCTTTCAAGTCTGTGCAGCCCAGGGGTAGAGCTAGGTTTCGTGGGGCCTCGGTCTCCTTCAACTTTGAGAGCTCAACTCAAGGAGAGAAATACAGACATCACTGAAACAAATATTTGGGGCCATGGAAGAGACCTATGCAAGTAAGAGACGTGGAACTTTGGAGTTTGCATTTTCTTTATGATAAGTTCACCTCTGTGTTGGCCCCTACCCGTTAAAACAGGGGCATAGATTGGAAAGAGAGGTGAAGGATGTAACCCTGATGGAACAACGGAGGAGTGAAAGAGTTGGGAAACAGAGGCATCAAGGGAAACGGTGAAAGGAAGAGGCAGAAACCCAAGATGCCTCAGTAGCATCCTTCAGGGAAACAAGAATGGGCAAGGGGTCTCTGGGAATCAAGAGTCATGGCTTAGCCCCAGGGCGATACAGACCTGAGACGGGGGAAGGTGCAGGTGCAGGAGGCTGGACAGGGGAGGACGCAGGGCATCTTACTCACCATTCTCCCTCAGGGAGTTACTCACCAGCAGGGCAGGAGGACAGCCTGCCTCGGCTGTTGACACTAATACACGAGAGCTTCTTGGTTGTGGGAGAGGGACTGTACTCTGAGTAGGAAAGAAGGGGTATAGCCCATGATCTGTGTTCCCCATCACCCACTTCCAAATCATCTTTTACCTCAGAGGTGACAGTGTGTCCGGAATCAGGCTACTCATCAGCTTTTAAGGCTTAGATTCTTCATTTTTAAAGGGGAAGTAACCTTTACCTCATACAATGGTTGTGGGAATTAAATGAACTAATCGACATAAAGCTTGGATTGTACCTGGTTCATAATGAATGTACCTAAATTACAGCTACCACTCTCCTCCACCTCTTCCTCCACATCAGGAAAACAGCCTCTAGCCAAGAATTCAAATAGGGGTAGGGTAGTGCAGAAAGCCCTCATCAGGGATTGGGTTTTGTTAAGATCTTGGGATGGGATAGAGATGACGTCAGGGTTTAAGAACAGGAGAAATGAGCAAGGGTCAGCCTCCCAATTCCCCTACCTGAGAGTTACCTAGACTGCTGAGAACATCCTTGATCTTCTTATCCATAACGGAGTCTAAAGAACACTGAGTACTCCCTAGGGTCATTAGCTGGAGAACGGGGATGAGGATGAGCAGCAGGCAAAAGGAAGGCCCCATCCTGTACAGAGTCAGTGTCCTGGGGCTGGGAGAAAAGATGGAAAGTGGCTTAGATCTCTGAGCTCCTGGGTGGTGGTGCAGGAAAGAAGACAATGAGGTTAGTTTCCAGCGAGTGAAGACGGAAGAACAGCATCGTCAGTACTGGATCTCTTTAGGCAGTTTGGAGAAGCAGGTAGGGTTGCTGAGGAACAGACTTACTTACCAAAACGTTCAGAAAAGGTGTGCAAGGACTAGCCAGGCAACAGAGTCTTAATACACCTGGATTAACCTGAGCGCCTTTAATATACAAGCACACACGCATGTGTAAACACACTCCCAGCGCATTTTCAAAGACCCGTGACAGCTAGGGTGACAGGTGACTGTGATAAACTCTGGGGTGTTCATGAGAAGCAACAGCTACCTTTGCTCTGGATCTCTACCAAGGGAGTCCTGCCTTATTATCCTCCTCCTCCTTCTTCTTGTTAACCCAATAAGGCTTGCACCTGGGCCTTCCGTGGCCTGCCCTTAGTATAGGATTCTTGTTTGATTCTTCATCAGGAAGTGGTTACTTTGCAGTTAACAAACAAATTAATCCACCCATCATCTATCCCAAACCCAAGTGTATACTCTTTCTTATCTCTGTCGGCTAAGGGAGGGCCCTGCTTGTCACCTGTTCAGATACCATTTTATTGTCCCTGGCTAACCTCATTTGCAGGAAAGTCACAGAAAAACGGATTAGTCCTGGATTAAAAATAAGGAAGTTCAGTATTTACTTAACCAGAAGCATAGTTTACGATTCGAGTTCCTCTGGAGGCTCAAAGAGTTCCCCTTTTCTCCCCGCCATTCTCAGCTAATCTTTCAATCCTATCTCCTCATGGTCACAAGGTAGAAGGTGCCATATCTTCAGCTCAGACCCTGAGCAGGAAGGAAGGAGTGGAGCAAGGCCATTCTCTTTGGAAGCTTTACCTTTTTACTTTGAGAACAAGATCTTGACATCCTGGTAATTGAGAGTAACTGAGCCTTTTGAGGGCCGCTTGCTGAGAACTGTGAGCTCAAGAAGATTTTCCCTTACATTCCACTATTTGGTTCTGGGTGACACAACCTCCCTTTCTATCAGCTATGGCTGGAAAAGAGAGCTAGGTATCACAATTCCTTATCTAAGACCTGGGCCCCAGGTGCGTTTCAGAACTCAGAATGTTTCAGATAATGGAAGGTGCAAATTCCCTATATTATGTTATAAAACCAAGGAGGTTGGGGGCGGCAATCTGCAGTCTAATGCATTTATTAGTCTGCTGCAAAACGTATGAATATTTATGCGGGATAAATAAAGACCATAAAGAGCCTCACACCAGGCCATGCCAAGTTTTTCTGCCAGATGAGTTAGCCTCAAATTTAGGACAGAAAATTTTCATTTTCAGATCCTTTTAGATTTTAGAATAGCGAATAAGGGATTGAGGACTTTGAGGATTCACGTGTGCCAACAGGAGTGAGGATGCCATGACTCCTCATCTAGGATGGGGCATGCGGCCACCATGAATAAATAAAATTTAAAGAAGAGCCTGTATCTGTGGTCCCAGCTGCTCAGGAGGCTGAGGCAGGAGGATCACTGGAGCCTAGAGGTTGCAGTGAGCTGAGATTGTTCCACTGCACTCCAGCCTTGGTCACAAAGCAAGACCTTGCCTCAAAAATTATTAAATTAAAAGGCAGTTGGATGATTATTCCTGAAGGCAGTCAGAACTGAAAAAGTTGGGCTTTGCCTCTGTGCCCAGCCTTTCCACCTGCTTTTCTGGAGATGCCCTCTGATGAACAGCTATTACTTCTATATTTCTCTCTCAGCAACTTTGAGAAATGGGGCCTAAAGATGCCAGCAAAATGTCAAGGATGCTTCAGTTACCAGATAGGAGTTGAAGAGAGGAAAAACGAGACTGAAGAATAAGAAAGAGCAAACAGTTGGGTTTGGGAGAAATGATGGGTTGATTGATTTGTTTGTTAATTTAATGAATATTTGTAGAGCTTCTCTTTACCAGCTCTAGCTCTGGTGGCTCAGCGGCGGACAACGTAGACAAGATCTTTGCCCTTTTGTTACTACATTCTAATGGGGGAGATGAATACAGTCAATAAATGTGTGTGTGTGTGTGTGTGTGTGTGTGTGTGTGTGTGTGTGTGTAATATATCAGATATTGAGAAATGATCTGAAGAAAAACAAATCAAGACAAGGTAACAGAGTGTGCCACTGTGCCATTGCCCATAATGCACTGTGTTCAGGAAAGGTGTCTCAGAAGAGGTAACAGCGACCTGAAGAAGTGAGTGGGTGAGTCCTAGGAAAATCTGAGACAAATGTTCTAGTCTACGGGACAAGCATAAAGAGCCCACAGTGAGAGATGGTTGGTGTGTTGAAGGAATAACAATGGCAATTTGGCCAGAATGAAGTATAGTGGGAAAGGCCAGAGAAGAGGTCAGAGGTCTGACCAGGGCCAGATGGAGCTTATAAGCTCTCTTATAGAGAGAGCTTATGTAATGTAATGTAAGGGCTTCGGGTTTTATTATAAATTTGTCAGCACATTATTGCAGTGTTTTGCGCAGGGGAGTTACATAAAATGATTTATTTATTTTTTAATGTTTCTTCTTCCTTTTTTTTTTCAGAGACAGGGTCTAGTTCTATCACCCAAGCTGGGGTGCAGTGGTGTGATCATGGCACTACAGCCTCAAACTTCTAGGCTCAAGTGATCCTTGTGCCTAAGCCTTCCAAGCAGCTGAGACAATAATAGTGCGCCATCATATCCAGTTTTTCAAAAAAACAAAAAAAAAAATCTGTAGAGACAAGGCCTTGTTATGTTGCCTAGGCTAGTCTTGAGTACCTGACCTCGAGCGATCCCCCGTCTCACTTCTCAAAGTGATGGGATTACAGATGTCACCCGCTGTGTCTGGCCCTGATTAATGTTTTATAAATCCTACTATGGCCAAAGTGGAAGAAACACTGTGGAGGGAAAACGGGTAAGAGGTAAGCAGAGAAAGTGGGCACCAGGCTTCTACAGAGTACTAGGTCTCAGAGAATAATCAAGGAAGGAGTGAGAACCGAGCCTCCAGAAGATTTGCTGATCCTTGCATCCACAGGGTGTGTGGAAGGAACAGAGAAGTAAAGATCTAGATACCTTATTGGACAGTGCTGCTATTTACTAAAGTGGGGTTTCCTGGGAGAAGAGTAGATATGGTGGGAACATAAAACCGTATTTGATCATGGTCAATTTAATGCACCTATTAGAAATGTAGGGGAAGCTGTGGCATACGGAGTTAGGGGTTCAGGGAAACAGAGTTGGAGACACAAATTTGCTAGTAAACAGTACACAGGTGGACCTACGTGCAGAGAGACTCTAATAGGAAAAAAGCAATCTATTTGTCTTTAGTGAAGAATATAAGGGAAATAGAAGACTGGGCAGTGGATGAGCGGAAACATATAGATTTAGAAATAGGAATTAAGTTGCATTGACTATCAGTTTGTTGGGAATAGCAAGGAAAGAGAAGACAACAGGCACACTTGACAGTGCTCCTGGGTTAAAATGACTGTGGACAGCAGGGATAGTGGCCACCACCTCTGGGGAACACTTGTAGCCAGTGGCATGCTTAGCATACTTGACACACAGAGGGGATCACTTTTTAATATTGCTGTCCTTTACAGAACAAAATCATTTTCAGTAGTAATTATGTAATGATTGGTAATAGAGCTAATCATTATTTTTGATTCGTTCTCTGGTTTTAAAACAAAAAAAAATTAACTATCGGAGAATATACACTTTAAAGATATCATTTAAATTTAGTATAATATTTTACATACGAACCAAAATTTGCACTTAGCAAACAAAAATATCATACCTGACAGTTTGCACCGTTTCAATATAAATTTTAAACACAATTAAAATTGTTTTAATTGTCATTGTTTCTTTAGAATCTGCTGTTTAAATGCAGGAGTTAACATAACAGCACAGGGACTGGAGACAAACCATTAGAAGCAAACTTGACTATTGAATTGTTATGATCTTACTTTAGAAACGAAGGTGTGGGCAAGGCACGGTGGATTATGCCTGTAATCCCAGCACTTTGGGAGGCTGAGGTGGGTGGATCATGGGGTCAGGAGATAGAGACCATCCTGGCTTACACAGTGAAACCCCGTCTCTACTAAATAAATAAATAAATAAATAAAAAAAATTACCCAGGTGTGATGGCAGATGCTTGTAGTCCCAGCTTCTCGGGAGGCTGAGGCAGGAGAATCATTTGAACCTAGGAGGAGGAGATTGCAGTGAGCTGAGATCATGCCACTGGCACTACAGCCTGGGCAACAGAACGAGGCTTTGTCTCAAAAAAAAAAAAAAAAAAAGAAAGAAAAGAAAGAAATGAAAGTATGTAGCTGAGACTAAGTATGTTGGGGCCAATTGTATAGCTGGAAGTTCTCTGGATTAACTTTCATGTAGAACACAATATTTATTAAAATATAAGTAAAAACTGTGCTAATTTGAAATTTTCATATATGTTATTAAAACTCAACAGTAATCACAGCAATTGTTTGGAATTTCAATTCACAGTGTTTTGGGGGAAAAATATTTAACCATTGGTATTATTTAGAATTGCCATGCATGGAGATAATGAAAAGCAGATTAACTTTTATTGGCTTTATTATGGCTTTTGAATTCTCTTCGGATAATGCGCCCTGCTTCTAGCCAGCGTTCCCACCCTCGGTAGTCGCTGCTGATGGTGTCAGGACATTGCCTGGGATTAGTCACTCTATCATAGAGCTTCTACCTCAGCATTCCTGGAAAGTGTTCAGAAAACCCTACCAAGAGAGATGAAAGAAAGTTTTTCTTCTTCCAAAATGTGTAGATAAACCCAGTAGAGACTTTTACACATTCTCCTCTCCCTTAGAGCCACCTTCTTCCTAAGAGTGCACTCCTTCTGCAATGGTCTCAATGTGGAGGTAACTGTGATTGCCCATACTGCAGGATGCTCAGGGAAGGTGTCTCAGAAAAGGCAACAATGACCTTTTAAATCTTTCTTGTCTCCTTTTCCCCATTCGATTCTCTTCTGATTATTTTGTATTTCATTTCATTTTACATACATAAAGTTTGAAAAGTTGTTAGCATAGGGCTCCAGCTAAGAAAGAAAGAAAAAGAGGGACCATAAACCTGGGTATGGGCAACCGGGAAAGAGAAAGGCAGAGAAGATGGAGATGAAGCTGACAGTTACATCTGTT